AATTTGGACATTTTCACTTTGGGGTGTACTCACTTTTGTGGCCAGTGGTTTAGACATTAATGGCTGTGTGTTGAGTTATTTTGAGGGGACAGCAAATTTACACTGTTATACAAGCTGTACACTCACTACTTTACATTGTAGCAAAGTGTCATTTCTTCAGTGTTGTCACATGAAAAGATATAATAAAATATTTACAAAAATGTGAGGGGTGTACTCACTTCTGTGAGATACTGTATATGCGGTTCTGACGGTTGTATAATAATAAAATGCACTATGAACGCAACTCTATGAAGTGATGTTGCCATACTAGCCTTTACCTTCTGCTCTAGAGTCTTGTTTTGTGTTAAACATGGCAGAAAAACAGTCTTAAGAAGGGATAACTGCAGGCTCACGCAATGGGTGTGGCTAAAGGTGCGACATGTCGACGCATTCCATGCTAATCGACGTATTTTCATAATCGACGTAATCGATGACGTCGACGAATCGTTGCAGCCCTAAATAGAATAAAAATTATGTTTTTGGATGGGGGAAAATAGTGGTTGGAGAAGCTTTGCATATTTACAAAACAGGCTGATCATCAACTGAAAGTGACGTGCCACTTCAAGTACTTCCAGTGCAAACTGTGCAGACCTGCAGGGTTAAGGACTGAGGTAAAACCAGTTTTTCCAGGAAACACGCAGGAGAAAACAGACTGAACTGCAGCTGACAGTAAGAGAGGACCGGTTTACACTTGTCACTTCATCAGATAGCTATTTGAACTGTTAAAACTGTAAAATGCTTTAAATGTTTTAATTTAGACATAAATGTGTCTCTGCAAAGCAAAGTTTGATCTTAAACTGCTGCACTATTTGCAAATGTCACTGATTGCAGCACATATCTGTGGCTTTCAAAGATCAAGAGTGTCGTCAGCACTGGTGAAAGAGCTAAGCACTGAACACTTTTAATGAAGATGACTGTGTTGAACATGCGAAGAGGCCGCAGATTGAAGACGCGAGATGTGGGGTTCATTTATGGTGGTTTTGCTGAAGAGAGATGCTCATCTACGACAGGTTATATCTGTGCACATGCGTGTTACAGTAGTGCTGTGGTATCTGCTATCAGGAGCCGGTAGTTATAACATGCTCTTGCACTTTTTGCTTTTGTATCGTTTTGGTAGGAGTAAAAATTTACATATGTGGCTTCAAGAACCAGATGCTTTTACCTTATTTGCAAAACACATTTCAGAGAATTTCAAGAAAATGCATGAAGTGGCCAAGTCCAAATAGGCCCAAAAGTAGCATTGGGTTTCAACCACAAATAAAACTATTAAAACATTTTTTCATTCAGCTTTAGATAATCTAAACAAAATAATTTTAACAAAAATCAGCTCACTTACTCTGTCTGAGCGTCAGTCAACTGCATCATCAGGGAGTTCTAATGAAAACAAAAAAAGAACAAAAAAACTTAACGGGGCCTCGTATATCAATGTTTGTGTTCAAAAGGGCATAATACCATTTCTAATATGCCTTTCCTCAAATTATGGATAACAAGTAAAGTCATGAATAAAGGTAATTTGACACAAACGTTGACGTAAACAAATAAAACTGAAAAGCAAATTAACAATTAGTTTGTCAGAAACAGTTTCAGACAATTTTGCTTCATTGTTGTTGCTCTCCATGTTAGGGGGGAAATAAATTACACTTTTTTTTTTTTTTTCTTACTCCAGAGAGATGATGCAAACTAATTTATATAGAGATTTTTTAGATCTTGCCTTGACCTACTTTTATTTTCTTCTCTTCTTGTAGTTCTCTCAAAACAGAAATGTGTATGGCCTCCCTCACATCTCTATAAAGACAAATAAATGGTTTAATTGCATGCACAGAACACACATGTATGAAGTGTATGAGTGAATTAGTCTTACTCTTGCGCACAGCCACTCTGTTTGTGTTGATTCTGGACGGTGTAAAACTTGTCCAACAGTGTCTGAATCTCCATTCGCACGATCTCTTTTTCATTCAGCTGGGCCTATAGATGCACAGGCAAACGTGGACGAGTGAACCTCACAGTAACTTTTATAAAAAACAAAAAAAACTCAGAAGTATAATATTCTGGGTGCACTGCAATGAAAATTGACACAACATACACAATGAGTAAATAAGTATATAATAACTAAAGCATGCATTTATAACATTTATCGACTTGATTATTTGATAAGTTGCAAGATTCACACATATCCATTGGTGGCCAAAATTGTTAGAACACCTGACAGATATGAAAATATTGACCTTTTTGCCTCCAAAACATGATTTCATCTCATAAAAACATATTTCATCAGATTTCAAAACAGATTTCATCTCATGTTCATGAAACATGCAGATGGTTGCTCTGAGCACAACAAATATCAGATTAAGTGAGTCATGCCGTTTTATCCACTTTTAACTTTAATATTTGGTATGTCCACCTTTTGCAGCAATTACAGCAGCACATCTCTCTGGCTTAGTGTCAATATACTTCCTGAGAACCTAATGTTATCCCATGCCTTCTGCCAATCAAGCCAAAGGCTTTCCTTTGAATATATAATAGATCTGTCCAGTTTATTTTCCAACTCGCCCCAAATTTGCTCGATGGGGTTGAGGTCTGGACTTTGAGGGGTCAGTCCATCATTTTCAATGTTGCAGCAGATTCCTTCCATCGCAGGTAGATCCGGCAATAGTTCGTTTTATGGGTATTGTAATAGCCAATTCAACAAAACAACTGAAACCTCTTAAATATGCCAAGTGTTCTAACAATTTTGGCCACCACTGTATTTGCTGTACATGAAGTGGGAACTGTGTGCATGAGCGTGACCTTTAATCTGTCGATCTCTTGGTTCTTGGCTGTGCGTTCTGCATTGAGCTCTTTCAGCAGAACCTCCATGGTGATCATAGAGGAGCGTCGGCTCTCCAGCTCTCTCTCCTGACACTCCAGCACCTGAGACAGACTCGAGCCAAAGCCACAGGGGGTCTGCGGTGTCTGAAAGAACAGACATCGAGATGAAACCATTAAGTTAAAGATGATTTTTACAAATGAGGACATCCCCAAGAGGAGGTTTTGTGAGATTTTCAGGTTCAGCTCACATCTTGACTTTGTCCCACAAATACAACTTTTGTCCCACAAATACGGTTCAGACGACACACACACACACACACACACGGTTTCTGCAGGATTTTTAAGCTCAAATTTAAGACCTTTTTAAGACCTGCACAAATAAAATGAATACCATATGAGCGGGGTAGGGCAATGTCTATAGTACCATATTAAACTGTAAAATTACTGTAAATTTTACGCGTCACACCCGGATAATCGAAAATAGGCAAAGAGGCGGGAGCAGGTTGCTGAAACCATGCCCACCTAGCTCGACGGTGGTGACAGCAGTGGCAATCCACCTGTCACTCAAGTGTCCACGCCCTTAATTATGCAGAACTTTAAGGCTTAATATAATTTAAACGGATGAGTTATAAAAAAAAT